CGGCGGGCCTGGGCTCCGGGGCCCCCGCCTTGCAGCGAGTCCTGCCCAAGCAGGAGCAGCCGAGCCTGGATTACTTCTGCCCGCAGCTGCAGCTGGGCGTGACGGAGCCCATGGTGGTGACACAGGTGTGCCACCCCCACCGCATCCACTGCCAGCTGCGGAGCTTCTCGCAGGAGATTCGCCGCCTCTCCGAGAGCATGGCCCACATCTACCAGGGTTCCGTGGGGACCGGGGAGGAGAACGACGCCAGTGCTCCCTGGGACGGGGAGGAGGAAAGCCCGGACAAGTCGGGCTCTCCGTGTGCATCCTGTGGGTTGGACGGACGTTGGTACAGGGCGCTCTTGCTCGAGACCTTTCGGCCGCAGCGCTGTGCCCAGGTGCTTCACATCGACTTTGGCAGGAAGGAGCTAGTGAGCTGCAGCAGCCTGCGCTACTTGCTGCCGGAGTACTTCCGGATGCCCGTGGTCACCTACCCCTGTGCTTTGTATGGCCTCTGGGACGGTGGCCGCGGCTGGTCTCGGTCCCAGGTCGGTGGCCTGAAGGCACTGATACTGGGCCGGGCCGTGAATGCAAAGATTGAGTTTTACTGCTCCTTTGAGCATGTGTATTACGTCACCCTGTATGGAGAAGATGGGATGAATCTTAACTGTGCCTTTGGGGTACAGTCCTGTTGCCTGATTGATAGATTCCTTCAGAGACCGGGAACAGAGGAGGAGGAGGAAGAGGAGGAAGAGGAGGAGGAGGAGGAGGAGGAAGAGGAGGAGGAGGAAGAGGAAGAAGAGGAGGAGCCCGAATTAGCCCTTTACTGTCAGTCTCCTGCTGAAGAAGTGGAGGAAGAGCTTTCACTCCCAGCCCTGAGGTCTGTCCGTTTAAAGATCAATGCCTTCTATGATGCCCAGGTCGAGTTTGTTCAAGATCCTTCTGAGTTCTGGATCCGGTTGCGGAAACACAGGGGCTCCTTCAGCAAGCTGATGAAGAGAATGAGCAGTTTCTATTCCTCGGCCAGGAAGCTGGATGGGATCGTTTTGAAACCGAAATCTGATGACCTCTGCTGTGTGAAATGGACCGAGGATGGTTACTATCGGGCTGTGGTGACCAGATTGGACGCCAAGAATGTGGATGTATTCTTAGTTGATCGAGGCAATTCGGAGAAGGTGGACTGGTGTGACGTGAGGATGCTGCTGCCTCAGTTCAGACGGCTCCCAGGATTGGCTCTGAGGTGCACTCTGGCTGACATTTGGCCTGTGGTAGGAACCTGGAGCCAGGAGGCAATTTCCTTTTTTAAAAAGACTGTGCTCCACAAAGAATTAGTCATCCATGTCCTTGATAAGCAGGATAAGCAGTATGTTGTAGAGATTCTTGATGAATCAAGAGCAGGGGAAGAAAACATTGGTAAGGTAATTGCTCAAGCTGGATATGCCAAGTATCAGGAATTTGAAACACAGAAAAATATCCCTGGATGTACCCACTCCCCAGAGCATGTTTCAAACCATTTCAGTGCTGAGAAGAACAAAATACCTTCTGCCAAGAAGGAAGAAGTAGAACAGAAAGCCAAGGGAGATAATAAAACTACATGTGTTTCAGAAGCTTTGGCGGACACAATAGTTGGTACAAATGTTTCAACGGGACTAGTTGTGCAGGGAAAAGAGAAAAGAATGTCTGTTTATTCTCCTCTTCTACAGAACTTGGAAATTAAGCTAGGCTCTTCTTGTAAAGAAGAGATAAAAATTGGAAGCACAATGGAAGTCAAAGTGTCTTATGCTAAAAACCCTGGCTATTTCTGGTGCCAACTGACCAGGCACATGCAAGAATTTAAAGCTTTAATGTGTGATATTCAGGACTATTGCAAGAATACCCCTACTCCTTACCAGGGATCCACCCCCGCTTGTTTGGCAAAGCGAACAGCAAATGGAAAATGGTCCAGAGCTCTGATCAGGAGGACACAATCTCCAGAGAATGTCAAAGTAGTATTTGTAGATTATGGAGACAAAGATGTGGTATCTGTGACGAATATTTGCGCAATTAGTGAAGCATTTCTCAAAGTTAAGGCTCAGGCTTTTCGGTGCAGTCTTTATAACTTAATTGAACCAACTGGCCAAAATCCTTTTGCTTGGGGTGAAAAGGCAATAAAAGTTTTCCGTGAATTTGTAGTCAATGCGTGGAAAGACAATCTAGAATTAAAATGCACAGTATTTGCCACTGCATCAACAGGTGACGAACTGTTTTATATCGTGGATTTGCTAACACCCTTTCAGAGTGCAAGCCATATTTTGATAGAAAAAGGATTTGCAAGACCAATCAAACTTCCAAAGCCGCTGGGGTTCCCCATTCAGCTATGTTCTTACTACTATTCAACACATGATATAAAAATCGGAAGTGAAGAATTAGTGCTTGTAACACATGTTGTTGACCCTTGGACATTTTACTGCCAGTTGGGAAGAAATGCCCATATTTTAGAAGAGTTGTCATGTTCTATAATACAATTAAATAAAACTTTGCTGAACATTAAAAAAACACCGTTGATCCCTGGGGACTTGTGCCTTGCTAAGGATACCGACAGAAATTGGAGTAGGGGGATAATGATAGAAAAAGACCCAAATAAAGTCTTTTTTGTTGATTTTGGCAACATTCGTGTGGTAACAAATGATGATCTGCTTTCCATACCTAGTGATGCATGTGATGTCTTATTTTTGCCCATGCAGGGCATTAGATGCTCATTGTCTGATATTCCAGACCATATACCAGAAGAAGTGACAACATGGTTTCAGGAGACTATTTTAGGCAAGTTATTGAAGGCTGTGGCCGTAGCCAAAGATCCAGATGGAAGACTGATGATAGAACTATATGATGACAGTATTCAAATTAATGCTAATATTAATGAGAAGTTAGCATTACTTGGTTACAAAGGTAGGGAACAAAAAAAAGAAGAAAGTGAAGTACTCTCTACAACAGAAACTCTTGATGTGAAAAAGAAATATATGAAGTTGTCACCTATGGAATATTTAAGCAAACAAGTAGAGAACAAGATATACAATATGGAGATCCTGGCAGAATCAGACAAACCTAAGGGAAGCTCAGCAGGTAAGGAACTCAAACTTTCACAAAGTTCAACAAAGACAAACGTAGTCGCTCAACATCGCAACTCTGTGGGGAATGAAAAGAGTGAAGTGTCTTCATTAATAGAAAAGAAAGAAAAAAGGAAAGTCATGGAACTAGAAGTCACTCCTTTAGAGAGAAAAAGAGGAGATTCCTGTAACAAAAATTTGCCTCTAAAATTGTCCGAGTTCCCACAGAAGACTATAAAGCCTGGCTTTAAAACAACTGTATATGTTTCTCATATAAATGACCTTTCAGACTTTTATGTGCAACTAACAGAAGATGAAGCTGCACTCAATCGTCTTTCAGAGAGATTAAATGATGTTAGCATAAGGCCCAAATGTTATGCAGGTCCTCCTTTACAAAGTGGAGATATAATATGTGCTACTTTCCCAGATGACAATTTGTGGTATCGCGCTGTGGTCAAGGAAAAACAACCCAGTGACCTTCTTTCTGTACAATTTATAGATTATGGCAATGTTTCCATGATTCCTACTAACAAGATAGGTAAACTTGATCTTGTTCATGCCCTGTTACCAAGGTTGTGCATTCACTGCTCCTTACAGGGACTTTGGGTTCCTGAGATTCTTCATTGTAAAGAAATGATGCGTTACTTTTCTCAAAGGACAGACGAGGCTCCAATAAAATGTGAATTTGTTAAATTTCAAGACAGATGGGAAGTTATTCTTGCTGATGAACATGGGATCATAGCAGAAGATATGATCAGCAGATATACTTTCAGTGAAAAATCTGAAGTAGGACTTTCCATCCAAATAATGAATGGCGCCTTTTCCAAGTCGGCCAACAAAACAGACAGTGGCACTTCAGTATTTCTTAACTGGTATAATCCCAAGATGAAAACGATAAGAGCTTATGCCACTGTGGTAGATGGACCTGAATATTTTTGGTGTCAGTTTGCTGATACTGAGAAACTTCAGTATTTAGAAGGAAGACTACAAAGTGCTGGAGAATGGACAACAGATGGGAGAAGCTGTATCTCGTGTCCTCATATTGGAGATCCTTGCATAGTGAGATACAGAGAAGATGGGCGCTTGTATAGGGCACTTATCACCAATATTTGCAAAGATTCTCTTGTGTCTGTCAGGCTGGTGGACTTTGGGAACATTGAAGACTGCGTGGACCCAAAATCCCTCTGGACCATTCCTTCTGAACTTATGGTGATCCCCATGCAAGCCTTTCCCTGTTGTCTCTTGGGATTTCATATTTCAGAGGATGTGTGCCCTCAAGAGGGAAATGACATTTTTTATGAAATCGTCACAGAAGATGTGTTGGAGATAACAATCTTAGAAATAAAAAAGGATATTTGTGATATCCCTTTAGCAATTGTTGACTTGAAAAGCAAAGGTGAAAGTATTAATGAGAAAATGAAAAGGTATTCTAAGATTGGTATTAGAAACAGTGATCTGCCCTATGAAAAAAATGGCCCAGGGATCAAGGGAGCTCTTAGATCCCCTGGTCCTGATGTCAGACTTAAGAAACCATGGAGTAAGGCTGGGCAAGAGAAAACATTATATGTGGAACCACAGACAGATGAGTTCTCTGTAAGAATTGAGAAAGACTTAAACATGATTGAAACCAAGCCAAATAAATTCCATGACCCCAAAATGGATACCGTTTTTGAAGCTTTTGAAAACCCATGCAAAGACAAGACTGGCACTGAGGTCCTGGAAGGTCAAGTAGAGTGCCATTTGGTTGACAAAGCAAAGTTTGATGATGAACCAATGACAGGATTGAATGTGTTATTACCGCGTGCCGATGAAACAGAGGAGATACTAGAACTGAATTCACTTGAGATGCCGCTTTCTCCTGATGATGAATCAAAAGAATTCGTGGACCTGGAATCCATGGAGTTACAGCATTCCCTAGTCGGGGATGAAGAAAAAGAAGAGCCAGGCCTGGTGCCTCCTGTCGAGCCACTCCCCCTGGTCTGCGACACAGAAGTCACCCTGGAGCCCTTCACAGTGCAGCTGCCCCTCACCTGTGAGGCCGAGAAGCAGCCAGAGCTAGACTTACCTACAGCCCAGCTGTGCCTAGAATCCCTGTGTGCTGAGGACACGAGAGAGTCAAGCTGCGTGGAATGGTGTGATGAACAACATGGGTTGCCATTGCATCTACATGGAAAGGATTGTGATCCCAAGACACAGGTTGAAATGAACATACATAAAGAAGAATTTACAGAATATAAACACAGAGATGCCATTTCCTCATTGACGTCTCTGCTTTCTGAGGAAGAACCCAGAGATGAGCGGAAGCATGGTGCTTTACCAGAGGTCCCAGGTATGTGAGTTTTTTCTCTCACTTTCATTTAGGCTTAACCTGGTGTCTTATTTATTTACTAATTTGTCTTAAAGAAAAAACTAATTCTTATCTAAATTTTTAAATTAACTCTTTGGGGGAACCGATTAAAACCTGAAAAGAGAATCTGATTTGGAGGGTATTTTTAACATAGGGAAATTATATTGTAAAATTCGTGTAAAATAATACTTTATATGCTGGGTAAAATGCTGACTTATTTTGTGTTTAAAATAGAATGCTTAAAGTGTGTTTCCAAAACACACTTTACTTTCCAAAAAGTAATCGCATTAAAATGTAAAACAAAAAACAACACCTTTGAAATAAAGAGGTTATATTTTTTGGTGTTTTTTAAAAAAAGTGTGGGTTTGGGTTGTGTGTGTGTGTGTGTGTGTGTGTGTGTGTGTGTGTGTGTGTGTTTCCAAACATTACTACAGGCATGAATTTATGATAGGGATCATTTCAGCAGAGATTTCAAATTTAACTGTTTTGCTTCATGCAGGTACTTTGCCATTCACTTAGAATCCCTTAAAAAAAAACTAGATTATGGAGCCTATGCAAACCAAAAAAGTTAACAGCCAGGAGTAAATATTGGAGAACATTTATTGTCATTAACTTTCTATAAATTATTACTAATGGCTATTTTCTTGGCTGCTTAATAAGATTCAAAGTTAGATGAAATGGCTAACTTTTAGTGTGTTTTTTTATAATCAATGTAACTTTTTAATAATTATTATATTATTCAACTTGAGTTATTGTACAAAATAGAAAAAACGATAGACTAAGGAGAATGAAAATCACCATAATTGCATTACCAAGAAATGGCCACAGTTAACACCATGGTGTACTTCCTTTCTGTTGTCTTTCTGCGTATGTGTGTGTTTATTTACAGAGAGTTTGAAAAACTAAAGAGATCAGACTATCCTACAGTGTTCAATGCTGCATTTTAATCTCTTAAATATGCCTTCAAAATAATGTAATTTCATAGTATGCCATCCTGTGGATATATGATGATTTATTTAAATATTATACTAGATTTTTAGTCTTCATTGTTCCATTTCAGAATAGTAAGTAATAGCTTTGTGATAAGATTGTCTGTTCATTTGCAATATGCTGCTTTGCTATAGAAATGGTTGTTGTAACCATAGACCACACCACCTCTGGCAAGAATAGCCTGCTTTTTGTAGTAGTTTTTAATGTTAGAATCAGACTCACATCTTTAAAAAACATAACACATGGTGATGGTTTTTTGTTTGTTTTGTTTTGTTTTTGAGGAAAATGGTAAGGAATTATCTGGGGAGAGTCCCTGTTAGAATTTAAATAAAATCAAGGAAAGATGACAGACTTAGAATATATTGTATTATACATGATACCAATTATATAGAAACGAGAGGCCTGGTGCACAAAAATTTGTGCACTGGTGGGGGGCGGAGTGTCCCTCAGCCCGACCTGTGCCATCTCACAGTCTGGGACCTCTCAGGAGATAACCACCTGCTGGCTTAGGCCCACTCCCCGGGTTGCACACCACAGGCCTGGATCTGGCGGCAGGGCGGGTGGCTGATTGTGCTTCCCCGCCCCGCCGCCCCAGGTCGCACACAGCAGGCCCGGATCCTGCGCCAGGTTGGCGGGCGGCAGATTGCGCTGTTCCGCCCTGCCTGCAGTATGCAAATTTAATGGCCTTCTTTGTTGGGTTAATTTGCATACTCTTCTGATTGGCTGATGTGCGTAGCGAAGGTATGGTCAATTAGCATCTTTGTCTTTTATTAGTGTAGATAGCAGATTAAGAAAATGCTTTGCTCATGCATCTACTATTAAGGAATGAAGAGGCATGCATTGAGTTTTACTCTATTCAATCTGGCAGCTCAACCAGAGAACACATACACTTTGAAAGGATTTACTGTTGGATCCAAATGTGTTGTGTGGTCAAGACACACATGGTCTAAATGTGAGATTTTGGAAATAGCTGAAGAAGGTACAAAGGTGAGTACAGTTGAAGTGCTTTATCTCAAAATGTACCTGAAGATTGTTAAGGAAATTTTATAAGCTGAGAAAATGCAGTTAAACAGAAGTTCACCTGTTCATCCCCCCTCATATTTTGATGCAATCCAAAATATCATTTTAAGAGTTCATAGATGAGCATCCTAGCAAGAAATTGTGCTAGGCTCTTTCCTCCTTAACCCTAAAATTCTATCAATCACCAGGTTCCACACTTTCCACTTCCAATCTGTCAAAACATTTTAGATCTCTTGCCACTGCCTTTGTTGAGTCCCTCATTTCACAACCGGATTATTCTAATAACCTCCTATTTGGTTCACGTCTGGTCTTCCTTCAGTTGATTCTCTACACAGCCAGTGTGAAGTTTGTCAAATGCCAATCTGAGTACATCATTCCTGTGTGTCAAAGATCTTGGGGACTTGCAGTTGATTGTGTCTGTCCTGTGACCTGAAAACCATTGTATCAGAATCACCTGGTGTGTTTACTTAAAATGTAGGTTTCCAGGCTGTGCCCTGGCTGGCTGACTCAGAACTTCTGGGAGTAGGACCAGGACTGTGCATTCTTATACCATTAAACTTTGAGAGCCACTCGTCTAGATTAGAAAAGTCAAGCTCATCAACATGACATAGTCCTCCGGATTGAAGTGTCAATGTACCTCTCCAGCCTTAGGTCTTGCTCCTTTATGTTTTGTACTTTACATCAGATGAACATCAGACTGCTTGGTTTCTCATATATATATATGATTCTGTTTGGCTTCTTTGATTGATGTATTTCATAATGCAGTTAGTTCTATTTGCCTGTATTCTGTCCCCTGCCAAACTGGTTAATTTCCACTTATCTTTAAAAGATTTACTTCAACCATTGCTTCTTCCAGGAAGCATTCACTTGCTCTATTTTCTAAATTTCTCTATCTCTCCCCTTTCCCTAACCCTCAAAGAGCTTTATGTCTTCTTTATATTTCTGTATCTCTTGCTGCATAAATCTGTTATGCAATTTACTGCTTAGAGCTCTGTTTCTCCACTAAATTTTGAACCTCTTGAGATCTAAATTTTATCCATCTTTGATCTCTAAGCATGTTCAATATATGTTTTTTGAACTAAAGTATCATTGAGTTGAAACATAAGACTGAAATTTAGTACAATTATTTGTATTGCCTTTTAAGGTATTTTATTTTTGAAAGGATTGTTGTGGTACAAGAATCAGTTACAGTTTTTGGAAACTACCAATGTTCATTACATTTTTTTTCTATGGTAGGTTTTGAACCTTTCAAATGGTATGGAGGAGATAGTAAACCCTGAGAATGTCTGGAATGGCATACCCAAATTGGATAAGAGTCCATCTGAGGTATGGAATTATAGAAATAGTAATTAATAAGAGCATTGTCCTTCATTTTGAAAGGTGATAACTATTGCCAAAGACCTTGTGTTTAGGAATAATAGAGAAAAAGTACTAATATTGTAATGACAATGAAAAACAGCAATAACAGAATCAATGTTTCAGGGCTTTATGCTTCATATCCTTTTGGACAACCTAGTTATTAATGTTTTACTCTTTGATTTTCATTTTGGGACTTAAAAATTGAAATTGTTCAGTGTCCATGACCTTTATAAAATATGGTTTGATGCAGAAAATCTAGGACAATGGCAAAGTTAAAAAGAACAGAGTATCAGTCACCTGTAATATATTCATCCAAAGATAAACACATTGGTCAATGTGGTTTTCTTTTATAATTTTTCTGATTATATGGAATGTAAACATGCCATCTACTAGTATGTATTTTGAACATAGTTTATTTTATTCTATATACAGTTTTATATTTTGTTCTTCATTCAAGATCATAAGGTGGGCAATTTCTGTTGCCATTATGATATGTATGGGCATTTGAATTTATCCTATTTGGATAAATTTAAATCTCATGAGGCATTAACTTACAAGGGACTATTTTTTTTTTGTGATACATTAAGTCACCGTGGTCTGGGATTCTATTTGATTACATTAAAAAAAATTATCCAAACTATTTTCTTTTACCATAAGAATAGGTCTCATGAATTCATTTCTGTACAGACATCACACACATGATGCTATTAGGAGTTGAAAGCATCCAGGAGAACTATTCCTCTTCATGAAGTCTTTAATAAACCATCTATCTGTGGCTCACCATGGATAATGTGTTTGAAAAGCAGTCCTTGAACAATACACCAGACACCAGAGTTCTGGGAGTTTAGGAGCTAACCATTGGAAGAGGTTACTTCATTCCCTGTGTTAAATGCTCCCATGGAGATAGGCCAGAGAAATGAGTAGCTGAAGGATAGACAATGTACTTGAGGTGATTCCTCACTATAAAATCAGATCCTTTTTGAAGGATTACTTTTTGTTGTTTACCATTTTTCTGGTTTATCTATAGTCCCCTTTCTGATTTTAATTATTGTGTGCTTACAATGAAGAACTGGTTGTAATCAAAGGGTTTGTTTTGCTGGGCTATAGTCCAAACACTGGGGAAAGATCTTTCCTTCATGTCATTGGATGATACTACCATTAAAGGACACTTTTGTTTATATAACAGATTGCCAAATCTTAAAGATACCATTACCCTGAATCTGCAAACAGAATGGTTTATCAATTTCCTTGTCTGTCGGTAGTAAGAAAAAACAAAAAAAAAATCTTTAGCTAAAATGTTAAATGTGCTTAAGAGAATAAATAGCCAAGAAGAGGAATTCTTAAAATAGGAAATGCTTGTTGATTGAATTAATCTTGAAAGTTAGATTGTGAATCTGATAAATTCATAGTTAAAGATTTTTTTCAGTGTTAATCCTATATAATAGAGAGGTAATATGCAAATTAACCCTCACAAGATGGCTGCCTATGACCAGGCCGGTGGGGGGGCTGTGAGGGGCAACCAGGCTGGCGGGGGGAGGGGGGCAATTGGGGCAACCAGGCCGGCAGAGGGGGCAGTTGGGGGCGACCAGTCAGGTGAGTGATTAGGAGCCAGTGGTCCAGGATTGCGAGAGGGATGTCCGACTGCCAGTTTAGGCCTGATTCCCAGGATTGGGGCTAAATCAGCAACCAGATATCCTCCAATGGGTCCAGGATTGGAGAGGGTGCAGGCTGGGCTGAGGGGACCCCCCACCCCCCGCCATGCACGAATTTCATGCACTGGGCCTCTAGTTACCTTATATGTTCAAATCATCTATGTATGTTAAATGGTCTCTTGGAATTCCTTTCAGGATTTTTAGTTTTATGTATATGGTACAGTTCAATTTGGGGGAGTTCCTGGTCATTGCATGGTCATGTTCATAAGTAGCACACTTGTTCTTAGAATTGAGATTATGAATGAAATCAGCTCTTGGTGGCTTTACTAGTATGTGAAAAATACACACTAGTCAAGGAGAACAATGGACTGACTACCAGCCTTGTTAACATCATTATAGCAAAATAGAAAATATGCCCATTTTATAGTATTTTAGAGAAACCTTATTTGATAATAGGCAATGTGTGAGAACCAAAATACTACAAAGAAAACATTTTTATAGGGATAATTCTCTGTAGTCATTAGAATACTCACTCATCCTCCCTCCCCATTTTTAGAGGACATTAAATTTGTGATGGTCACTCCCATGTAAGTAATTTTCTTGTTTTTCTGTTTCTTTCTCAACCTCAGAAAAGGGGCCTGGAGGTAACATAGATTTAGCTGTGGATCCAGTCAGAGCTGCTCTTAGACAAGAGGCGTGGCATCCAGACCAATGGAGTGTTTGAGCTAATTGAGAGCCTGAATGACAAGAAGTTGTCATGCTTTGGAAACTTTGATATGTGTTGAAAACCAAATAGATCTCAGGTTGAGTGTGCAGTGTATTTATAGTCATATTGCTGAATGTATATGGATCCGGGATCTTTATTTTGCTAACTAATTTATTAACACATTAGTTCATATTTTAAAAAATTATTATTTTAAAATATACTGTTTAAATTAAAAAAGTATAGGTTTATGACAAGTATATTTTATGATTCTACTTAGGAGGATGGTTTTGTAGCTCCTTCAGGATTTTTGTTTTTGTTTCAGAAACTTTGTCTTCTCTGTCTAAATATTTGACTAATTGCCTGTTTGAATTTGGAAGTATTCTAATATGACACAATATTTGAATAAAGGTTATCCTTAAAGGTGTAATGGTCTCTTTTCATTAAAAAGGAAATAGAATTTTGGAATATCCATAGTAAAGGAACCACAATTCTACAGTTGGGGGAAAGAGAGCAGCATTAAATGCTAGCTCCAGCTTTAGTCACTTGGATGGTTCTTTAAATGCATTTTCTTATTTACTCCTCAACTCTAGACACATATTAATATTATTCATATTTTATAGGTGAGAAAATGGGGACTTTTTAGAGAAGCTGAATAACTTGCCTAAGGTCAAAGAGCTAGAGGCTTGATCAAACTGAACCCATCTAACATCAGAGTCCATGCTTTTAAAAATATGGTTTAAAAATATGCAAAGTCCAGATCCTAGCGTAAGGAAATAGATCCTACTTATATATTGCTTACTATATATGTGACCTAGGCAGGTTATATAATATCTTTGAGCCTTGATCTTCCTCATCTGTGAAATGGGGATAATAAAACCTTTCTTGCAGTATTTTTAAGATTATAAATAATTTATATAAAGTACCTGAAAAGGAGTAGGCATTCAATAGGTATTTCCTTCTTTTCCCTGAAATATGTTCAGTATGCACTATACTAGGATTGTGATTTTTTAACCTTAACTCATTGGATCCTTTCAGCAGATATTTTCTTCTTTCCACAGCAGCACGTGTCACCAACAAAGGATTTGAGTGGGACAGCCATACCATTGGAATGGTTATCCATTTCTAAAATGAAGTTTGCAACATGAGAGTGGGGAAAAGATGTTTGCATAGGAAACATTATCAGACCTTGAAGCTCGAAGGGAATCATGAAAATAGAGAACCTTAAAAGCTGGGTGTAATTTCAAAAAGCAAAAAGGAGATGGTTTTGCATTTAACATCATGGAGGTAGATAAGTATGTGGTTGTTCCTGAGATAATGGACAGACAAGTTTGGCTCAACATGTAGGAGACATAGTTGTGAATTACTGAGAGAAATGTCAGAGAAGGCATTTTAGGGCCAGATTACAGGAAGCCTGCAGTTTCATGCTGAGGAATTTAAACATTTTTAATCTGAATGGCTATATAGGATAGGAGAAACCAAATTTCTCAAAATGGGTCTTTGTGCACCTTAACACATTAAGACAGGCCCGAAGTGCCATTTCAGAACACAGTAACTTAGTAACTGGACAGAAGGGGTAGAGATGGGATAGTCATAGTGAACCAAGCTTCTTACCAAGTACTGATTATCCCTGTTTACACAGGCTTAATTAACTGTAAAGAAGTCAGAAAAACAAGGCCATACTTAGACCAAAATATACTTAGCTAATCAGTGGCATAAGTTTTTACCCTTTAGGAAACTAAAAAAATGTTTCCCTTGAGTCCTGAACATATAAGTGCATAATGTTTAAGGTATTCTTTTCCCTCCACTTATTGTGATATTCTATTTCCAGTACTACCTATATAATTAAAAACATTTATTAAATAAAAATAAATGAAAACCAGCCGATGTGACCTAGTTGGTTATGCATCGTCCTATGCACCAAGAGGTCACTGGTTCAATTCCGGTCCGGGCCCATGCCCAGGGTTCTGGCTCAATCCCTAGTAGGGGGCATGCAGGAGGCAGCTGATCAATGTTTCTCTTTCATTGATGTTTCTATCTCTCTCCTTCTCTCTTCCTCTCTCTCTAAAAATTAGTAACAGTAAAAAAAACATTTAAAAACATAATAAAACATAAAAATAAATAAAATAATTGAAAAATAAAGCAGTTAAAAGTCACTCTGAATGTTTTCTTAGTTAACTCCGCCTTTGGTGAATAACTAACGGAATGTGTTATGTAGCTGGTATTTCTGCTCTGTCTTATGCACCTTTCTTTCATAAGTAGAATCCGCCAGGAATAAACCATTAACAAAATGCAAACAAATTACCCACTTCCTTTAATCTGCTTTAATATGCTGCCCTTGCCCTGTCTCCAATAATCTTACCCTTGTCCATGCCCCACTTAGTTATCATGTTCAATTGTATAGTATCAAATTGTATAGTATCACTGTGGTAAAACAATGCCTTTATTACCTGCTTGATCTAAGTTTTCTTAATATGACCAAAAAGCAAAGGGAAGTGCTGCCAAATTCTATCCAGTTTACCATGTTGCTGAAACACAATTCTACTGTTCATAATAATAAAAAAAAAGAGGCAAGAAAATCTCTTTTTATTTTTTTAGGGAGTGTTATGTCCTTGCAACATTTTTTCATTGGCATTGTGCCTGTTTTAATATCCTTGTTCATTAATGTACTATAGAAACAGTTATTAACTTGATACTAAAAAAGGATCACTTAGTAAAAAGTAAAATTTAGGCTGGTATGATTTTTACATAATTTAGTCTCCCTTTATATTTAAAGGAAAAAAGGTTAATCCAAATTTCAGTCACTATTATGGTATAGCCATACAACACATACACTTTCAAACAGTTTTAAAAGAAGACATTTTAAAAAGCACTTTTGATCTAAATTCTATTTCTCTATACTTGTAGAATTCTGTAGAGCGCCATGGTAGTTGGTTGTGTCAACATTGGTCCCTGGAATAAGGTGATCATCTTTTCCTTCAATCAAATAATCCCATTTATCAAAATCTTTCTGAAGTCCTGTAAAATATAAATGTTAATCAACATTAAACTTTCGAGAGTGTTGAACAGTTGAGAGCCACTAGGTGGCAACATAGCATCATAAATTACATAATCTGTGTACTGATCAGGGAGACAAGGTAGCCTGTGCCCTGTTGCTGCATCTGAATGAGATGGGATGGAAGCAACATGCACGGTTTCCTCAACATGGAAGCCCACCCCAGTCTTACCAGCAAGACTGTTGGCTCTAACAGGTACACTTACTGTCTGATATATAGTATGCAATGCTGCAAAATTAAATTTTCTCAAGTTTTCAAACTGATTTGACTGCTATGTTAAATTATAAACTACTGGAAACTTAACATGAGACTAGTGCTGTAATAAAAGGCAGTTTTGTTCTGAGAATCATCCGGTTTGTGGAATGAAAGAATATTTGTTTCTTACCTAAATGCTTTTGTAAGAATGCTAATGAAGCTTTGTTGGTAAGATCCATAGCGACTTCTGAATCTATTTTTCCTTTTAATGTGAATATGTATCCAACTGCTTTGCCAGTTGCAAAAGTGAAGTCAGCAAAATTCTGATGGACTGAACCCCTGAAAGATAAATGAGACATTTACAAATCACATTGTTTATAGTTAGAGTGCAGGAAAGATATGGGCCTAGTTGACCTTTTTATTTATTTATTTTTTTTTAAAAAAAGATCTTTAAAGAGAGAGGAAGGGCCAGGGAGAGAAAGAAACATCAATGTGAGAGCAAAACATTCATCGGATGCCTCCAGGAAGCCCTTACAGGGGATCGAGCCTGCAACTTGGCATGTGTCCTGGCAGGGAATCAAACTGGTGACCTTTCAGTGCCCAGGACAATACCCAACCAGCTGAGCTACACCAGCCAGGGCCTGGATGACTTATTTACCGAAAACCAAGGAAACAATATTTATCAATTTGATCTCCTTAGATATGATTTTGAGGGTCACAGACTGTTCATTTAGGGATCCTAGAGTATGTATTTGTCTTCCCTTCTAGATAAACAATTCAAAGATCCTATTTTTGCTTGGCATCTTGTCTTTAAAAGAAATGATTCCAGCTTTTTAAGGGGCTGGAATACTTGCAATTTCAGTAGATGGAATGTGTTATATGTTGAACTCAGAGCCAGAAGCCTGCTCCCTTACTGCAACCACTTAACTTGATATCTATTTGATGCTAATCAAGCCACTTTGGATTTAAGCCTTGGATTAAGTAGATTAGAAAACATGTTTTCTTGTATTATTTAAAATGTAAGCACCTTCCAAATACCAAGCTGCATGTTAAATTCACCAACAGCCTACCATCAAATAGGATGGCCTTTTTATTGCTCATTTTCTATTACCTCCGGGACACTTGACACTTGATTTTATTGCATTTTTCCCCCTCTTTGTTTCCTTGACATTATGCCTGCCCCTTTCCTTGTACTCTGTTCTCTTCTGACTCTTCACCTAAAATGTAGGCATTTCTCAAGGTTCTATTAGACCATTTCTCTTCTCACTTTGCGGTCTCATCCACGCCAAAGGTTTCATCTATAACATATAAAGTCTATGCATTTCCAATTTGTGGCCAGACAGCTCTATCCATATTTCCCAATCTCAAGCTGAGAAATACCAAATTAAAATACATTTTTTTCAGGCCCCACATGATGCAATTTTTTTTTCCCGACTTTGCTGCTGCTTATAAGCAAACTATGAATCCTCTTAGCTATCACTACTCAAAACAGAACCATTTGGCACCTGCTCATTCTTCCCCGAATTCCAATCAAAACTTGAGCATGGGACTCATAAAGAAGGTAGACACAGGGTCAGGGAAAAGTAGAAGCCTGGATGCTACCCACAGTAGAGGATGGCTAAGGAGAAGGAGAGGGTGGGGGAAAAGGATGGAGCCCTCTAAATGATAGGGGAAGAGTAGGGCTGGGTAGCCTGGAGAAGAGAAATAGGTGTCCTCAACAATATCGAATGGATGCAGAGAGAAAGGCTGAGACTGCACATAGACTGCTGGGCTTTTAAAGCCTCGGCAGGGCCAGCTTCAGCATGGGAGGGCAGGGGGAAGGCGTTTGGGAAGCTAGACCACAGGAGTCAAGAGTAAGTGCAAGTAAGCACATGCAATATTAAATATAAGCTATTCTTTCAAGATTTCTAGCAGAAAAAGTAAGAAAAAGAGTGCCTAGTAAGGAAGTGGGGTGAAGGACAGGTTAGGCATTCTATACTATTTCTCCTTTAGAATTAGACTTGCACGTGCAAATGTGCTACATTGAAGTCC